ACGGCACATAACAACAACAACAACATAGATTGAATAAATATGGAGAAATGATACAACCCTGATGCATAACTTACCTGATTTTAAATAATAAAGTATCCCCTCGTTCTGTTTGGACAACTGCTTCGTGATCTATTTGTAGATTTATCATGAGCACAATTAAGGGTTCTGGGATTTCTGTTCTTCTTAATATTATCCATAATTTGCTATAAACCATAAAGTCAAATGCCTTTGCATAGGCAATAAAACACAAGATCTTCTGACATTAGCAATGTCATCCCTTATTCCATGGCATCAGCTGAAGCTCTCTCAGTTCCCTGTCATTTTTTACATAATTTTTCATAATGTTCCAAGCATTTTTTACATAATTTCAACAAGAATTTACTTGTATGTGATATTAATGATATTTTTGAATAATTTCCAGATTGTTAGATTAACTTTAAAAAAAATACTGGAAAAAAATGTTGCTCTCTCCCAGTCAGTCACTCAGGTAGCAATCTTCAAAATTTCTTGGTATAGACAACCAAACACATTAGGAAAAATGGTATATTATAAACAAGGCATGAAAATTAAAATGAGCAGAAAGTCTTTCAATATACTGATAAATTCTTCAATTTTATTTATGTGATCATTTACAACATACACAACATGTATGCTTATTATATCAAAACACTTGTTTGCCACTAAGATGTTTGCATGACAATGATATAAATTACTCAATGCAGAACACAAAAAAGGTCAAGTTTAATATGAAGATATTTTTTTTTTATTTCCCGTCTCAGGGCAACATAACAGGCAGGACTGTAGTTTAAAAAAGGTCTCAGTCCAATATTTATCCATAACTAAATATTTCTCTCAGGAAAAGCAGACAAGATTAGAGAATAGTTATTTAAACAAAGTGTACATTCTGGAAAAGAGTGTGAACTACTGCATACTGATAATCATTTGAATATTGGCACCTGCCAATATTCATTAACTACTGCAGTGGCTTAGTAGTAAATCACTGTGTTACTAACGCAAGGGCACATGGTTCAAAGCCACCAGATGCTCTGTGGGGAAAAAAGAGCCATCTCTCCCTGCATGATTTACAGCTTTTGAAAACCTGCTCAAGAATCATCTATGAGTCAGTTTTGACTCAACTGTACAAAACAGTAACTAAATCACTAAATAACTCTAGCAGTTAGGGATTCACAAAGTATCCAAAAATCTTTTTAGTCCATTTCCAAAGGCATATGTAGTCTACTTCAATTATTAGAACTCTTCCGAGCTACATGTCTGTTCCCATTTCCATACAACTTAGTGACACAGTTCCTCATTAAAAGAATATAGACCACAAGGAAATATATTAAAAAATTTAATATAACTTACTCTATTTTTAGTGTAACGGACTCTGCCTGCAGCAATTCCAAGTCTCTGAAAATAAGCTTCAAAATCACTCCCAGATCCAAGCTTATTGATTCTAGATGTTCAATAAGAGAAGATGAACAGGTAAATAAATTACACATAAGCAAATAAGGAAGTCAATGTACTGCCCCAGCCATACTTAAATAATATTCAGCAAGATTTTACTTGCATGTGATATTAATGATATTGTCAGATAATTCCTATATTCTGTTGGATTTTTTTTTAATAGGAACAAATATGGATTCCAGTAAGTTAGCCAGGTAACATCTCTTTCAAATTTCTTGACATATGCTAGAGAACACATCCTAGGCTTCATCTGTTTGCTGAAATACTGAAACTGGTTTTATATCAATTCCTAAGCATTATTTTTTGCCGATACCTTTGGTGCACATATATCTGTCCTCTTAGTTCTTGATCATGTCTTACTTTCTAAAACGGTTCCATATTACTTTTTGATACAATGATTCTGCATTTTTCTTTCACCTTTGTGTACCAGTTTGTCATACTTGAGTATTGACTTGGGTGTTGCTGTGAAAACTATGTCATACACATTTCAAATACAAGCAGAATCACCATGGTGGACAGGTTTTGGAGGACCTTCCAGATTAAGACAGATCTTACTATAGTTTACAATTAAGCATACATGTAAATACCTCCTTTCTCTTTCTCTCTCTCTGTATGTATATATATATATATTGAACATCTCATGCGATTTACTGCTTCCAAACACTCTGAGCACCTGACAATGTAAAAAGAGCAAGAGCCACATAAGGACAGCTATATTGACCTTTACCAACTTCACAAAGAGGAATTGTCCCTGTCAACAACATCAACAACACAAAACCAATTCCCAAGAGGTCAGAGGGGTCCCCCTCCTCTTTCTACTCATCTTAACACGAATCTTACTGCTTTGCAGGGTCCATAATCCAATGCAGTAGCTTAAAGATAACAAAGAACCATGTTGGAGAAGTCAAAAGGCTATAATTCAAGTTAGTAGCAGAATACAGTCAGGAAAGCTTCCAAAATGTGCTTGCAGGCATCTTAGCTTTGAGCCTAGAGGGTTTAGGCTAGTGTTTCAAAGTTTTCAGTCCTGCCAATTATGGCTCTGCCCCCATTTCCCTCAGGCCTACAGTTGTCCAACAAACTGGGGCAAAGACTCTTAGCTCTGGATCCATGGGCGGTTCCAAGATCAGCTCTACCTCATGTTGGGTTTCTGGTCCTCTGCTTCAGCTACTGCTGCTGCTGCTGTAAGTCTTCCTGGTGCGAGTATCTCTGTTCTTGGAGGGTGCCCACTGCATGTTTGCTTATTCTTTGTTGGAAGTGAAACTATCCAGAACCCAAAAAGATATTCCATGCTATGAGCTAGAGTTGACTGCTGCAACCTGATGGCTTGTTTGTGACTCTAATTTGCTTATGGATACAAATGCTAAATGTTCTAACAGGAATAGAAGATTTTTCAGAGTACTGGTTTGATAGGAATGAGCAAATTAGAAACTGGCTATCCAAAATTGGTGAGATCAAGGCATGATGCATAAAGTTGTTGCCCTTATATTCTTTCACAAATGCAGTTATTATATATTGTAAGAGGATGGGGGTACAGGAGCTTGACCAGCAGAAAGCTGGGCAGCTTAAGGATTCATCACAGTCCCCGCCAATCTCAGGTAATCTGAAGATGCCAAAACTGTGCGGCATTCGTTCTGGAACGAGGGCTTGTGGCCCTCGGGCCAAGAAAAACGTATGTACACACCAGTTCTACGGGATGCATCACCTTTGCTTGGGAAACATTACCACTAAACTTCAGAGACATTGGTCCCAACATAAGGAACTACCAGCAGCTGATATGTTTGGAATCACAGAAGACAAGGAAGCTTCACATATAAGTTATTAGATGAAGGGCTGGTCAATGGGAGATAGATGTGAAGGGAGTGGGTAGAAGTGGATGGGCATCCTGGTGGATTGTGGAGCAGGGAAATAAGTGGGTAAAGACATGTGTGACAAAGGCAGGAAGAACACTGACACTAAAGGTTAACTCCACAATAAGGGATATAACTTTAACTTGCTGGTCTGTCTGATACTTCTCTAAATCTGAACATTCACGTTAAGACAGACTAGGAAGAAGGATTGGCCATCCACTTCTGAAATAGCAGGGCTCTGAAAACCCTATGTACAACAGAACACATGTAGATAACAGAAATGGCAAAGGAGGTTGAGTTTTGAAGTATGGAAACACAAAGGAAGAGGAACAGTTGTAAGCAGACACTAGAGATTGGGACATGGCATGTGAGAACCATGAATGTAGGAAAATTAGATATTGTTAAGGAAGAAATGGAACGCATAAATATTGCCATACTAGGCACTGGTGAGATGAGATAGACTGGCACGGGGCATTTTGAGTCGGATGATCATATGATATATTACTCTGGAGATGAAAAGGTGAGGAAAAATGGAATTTGCTTTCATAGTTAAAAAAGTCATTGCTAGATCCATCTTGAAGTATAATATTGTCAGTGACAGGATAATATCCATACACATACAAGGAAGTTCAGTGAATACCACTA